GCGCGGGGCGGGGTCTTGCAGCGGGCGGCGCCGGCGGCCGGGGCGGCGGGGTCGGGGCGGCGCACCCGTGGTACGACGGGTCGTCATCGTGGCCCTCGTCGGGGGTGATGTACGCCATCTCTTCGGCGCAACAGTGGCTGAGGCGAGAGGGTGGCTCCCGGGGCGGCAGCTTTTTTGATCGATCCTCGAGGTAGATCTTTCAGCGAGCCAAAGTTGCCACAAGCCTTTTTTTCGTCCTCGCACGCGATGGAGCCCTTGGCTGCCTTAAGACGGCGCTGGTCACGTTGCCGTGATTTCCGCCCCGCCCCTCTTTCTCGCGCGGGCTGCATGCCGGCGTCCGGCGTCTTCAATTGGAGCCTTCGCGCGGTTGACGCGCTTCGCGCGCCAATCTCGAGGACGAGCGAGCGAGCGCCCGAGCGACGCGTCGCACTTTCGGAGGCCGCGCCTCGCCGGAACCCGCCGGGCTGAGCCGCCTCAGGCTCTTCCACGGCGTCGTTGAAGCCCTCGTTGAAGTAGCTTGAAGGCCTACGTGCAAAACACATCACCCTCGTCCACCCATCCTCGAAAACACGATGCGGTCCGCTTTTGCGCGCGCGTCGGTGGCCCTGCGCCGCCCCGGGGCGCGGTCGCAGTCGACGGTGCTCCTCATGCGCCACGGCGAGTCGACGTGGAACCTCGAGAACAAGTTCACGGGCTGGTACGACTGCCCTCTCAGCGACAAGGGCCACGTCGAGGCCGCCGACGCCGGCGCCCTCGTCGCCGAGGCGGGCCTGGCCTTCGACGTCGCCTACACGAGCACGCTCAAGCGCGCCATCCGCACCCTCGACCACGCCCTCGAGCAGAGCGACCACATGTGGATTCCGGTGACGAAGGCGTGGCAGCTCAACGAGCGCCACTACGGCGCGCTCCAGGGCCTCGACAAGCAGCAGACCGTGGACAAGCACGGCCTGGACCAGGTGACGATCTGGCGCCGGTCCTACGACATCCCGCCGCCGGACCTCGACACGGCCTCGCCCATGTACCCCGCGAACGACCCCAAGTACGCGGCGCTCGACGCGGCCTGCATGCCGACGACGGAGTCGCTCGCGACGACGGCCGCGCGCGTCATCCCCTACTGGCAGCAGGTCATCGTCCCCGAGCTCAAGGCCGGCAAGTCCGTCATCATCGCCGCCCACGGCAACAGCCTCCGCGCGCTCGTCCAGTACCTCGACGGCATCTCGAACGACGACATCACGGAGCTCAACATCCCCACGGCGACGCCCCTCCTCTACACCCTCGACGCCGACATGCGGCCCATCCCCGACGCCGACGCCATCGCGCCCCTCCAGGGCAAGTACCTCGGCGACCTCGACGCGATCCGCGCGCGCATCGAGGGCGTCAAGAACCAGACGAAGTGAGCCGCGCGCGTGTGTAACGCCCTCACGCCTCGGGCGGCGCGTTCGGGCGCGTTCGCCGCCGCGGATGGGGATCCGCTCGCCGAGCCGGCGCGGCAAGTGCTATGCAGGCCCGACCGTTGTATTGCATGGGTGTGCTAACTAATTCAATTTCGATCGCGTCAGGGTCGTCGTCCTCACGCCAGGCGGGCTTCGCGTTCAGGAACGCCAGGCACCAGACCGCGAAGGTCGGGCGCGGAGAGGAACGCGACGACGACGACGCCAAGGCCAAGCACCACTCGACCGCGCGCAAGCGCAGCATCTCGGGCTCGGGCGACGACGCGGCGTGAAGACTTAGGCTATGCTCGCGCGTCGAGGCGCGCGAGGTTCTCTATAGCTCTCTCGTTGCCCTTGGCAGCGGCGCGCTCAAACCAGTATCTGGCTTTGCCGAGGTCGACTTCCGTGCCTCTCCCGAACCTGTAACAAAGGCCAACGTTGAGCTCTCCAACGGTATGGCCTTGATCCGCCGCGAGCGCGTAGTACCGGAACGCTTCTTCATGTTTCTCCTCCTTGTAAAGTACAAACGCAGTTTTGGCTTGCCCGAACGCGTCGCCTCGGTCCGCGGCCGCGCGATACAGCCGCTCCGCCTTCTTCTTGTCCAGCTTGACGCCACTTCCATGCTGGTGCAATTCCCCAAGATCTACCATCGCGTTCACGTCCTCGAGCTCCACGGCGCGCTTCCAAATCTTTGCGGCTTTCTTATCGGATTTCACGAGGCCGAGGGTACCTTCGTGGTACGCACTTCCCAAATGGCTGATCGCTTCCGGCACCTCGTTCTCCACATGGCGGCGAAG